TCAGGGGTTTGTCAGTGTCAGGGGTTTGTTTGTCAGGGGTGTCAGTGTCAGGGTCAGTGTCAGGGGTTTCAGTCAGCGGTCAGGTTTGTCAGTGTCAGGGGTTTGTCAGTGTCAAGGGTTTGTCAGTGTCAGGGGTTTGTCAGTGTCAGGGGTTTGTCAGTGTCAGGGGTTTGTCAGTGTCAGGGTTTGTCAGTGTCAGGGTTTGTCAGTGTCAGGGGTTTGTCAGTGTCAGGGGTTTGTCAGTGTCAGGGGTTTGTCAGTGTCAGGGTTTGTCAGGGTTTGTCAGGGGGTTTGTCAGTGTCAGGGTTTGTCAGTAGTCAGAGTTTGTCAGTGTCAGGGGTTTGTCAGTGTCAGGGGTTTGTCAGTGTCAAGGGTTTGTCAGTGTCAGGGTTTGTCAGTGTCAGGGGTTTGTCAGTATCAGGGTTTGTCAGTGTCAGGGGTTTGTCAGTGTCAGGGTTTGTCAGTGTCAGGGGTTTGTCAGTGTCAGGGGTTTGTCAGTGTCAGGGGTTTGTCAGTGTCAGGGGTTTGTCAGTGTCAGGGTTTGTCAGTGTCAGGGGTTTGTCAGTGTCAGGGGTTTGTCAGTGTCAGGGGTTTGTCAGTGTCAGGGGTTTGTCAGTGTCATGGGTTTGTCAGGGTTTGTCAGTATCTGGGGAATGTCAGTGTGAGGGGTTTGTCAGTGTCATGGGTTTGTCAGGGTTTGTCAGTGTCAAGGGTTTGTCAGTGTGTCTGGTCCTTATCCCTTACATCCCATAGCTATGGTTACATTTGGCTGCTAGTAATAAAACTGTATATTCTTGTAATATTTTATTGTTATTTAGTCACATATACTTTCTCAGGAGCAGGGCTCCGTGACACACAGAAACACTCACACAAATGCACTCACATACAACACATACACACAACACACACACACTACTAAAATATCCACACAGAGAGAATCAGAGAGAGACACAAAGAAATTACACTAGGAATGTCACGATACAGGTGCCTCAGTATCTCATTAATGAGGTCACGATACGACGCGTATCGCGATACTGAGGTCACGATATGATACGTTTCTAGATACTGAGGTCACCGTTCCATACGTATCTCGATACTGAGGTCACGGTACGACACGTATCTCGATACTGACGTCACGATGCCATACGTGTTTCGATACTGAGGTTACGGTACGATACGTATCTCGATACTGAAGTCACGATACGATACGTATCTCGATACTGAGGTCACGGTGCGACACGTATCTCGATACTGAAGTCCCGATACGATACGTATCTCGATTCTGATGTCACGGTACGACACGCATCTCGATACTGAAGTCACGATACGATACTTATCTCGATACTGAGGTCACGGTACGATACGTACCTCGACACTGAAGTCAAGATACGATATCACAATACGATATCTCAATACTGAGGCGGCGATACGATACGTATCTCGATACTGAGGTCACGGCACGATTCGTATCTCGACACTGTGGTCGCGGTACGATTCGTATCTCGATACTGGGATCACGATACGATTCGTATCTCGATACTCAAGTCACGGTACGATACGTATCTCGATACTGATGTCACGGTACGATTCGTATCTCAACACTGGGATCACGACACGATACGTATCTAAATACTGAGGTCACGGTACGATACGTATCGCGATACTACTTCTCCGATATTTTGCGCGTAACAAGCAGCCATTTCCTGAATGGCAACTTCATACCACAGCTCACCAGTCACCAATTAGTTTAGAGTTGGGAAGACTGACTATCAGCCAAGTATCCATCAACCACACTCACCAAGTCTAGTCACATTTGAAGTTCTGTATAACAGAACTGTATAACAGAACTACAAGCAAAGAATGTGTTATGTTCACTTTTAATAATGTCCTGTTTGTATTAACAAAAATGTTGTACATGAAATATCGGTGCAACATCAAAATAATAATCGATATATGTCAAAATATGAATCGATACTAAAACAAAGTAATCGTGTATTGCATCGTGAAACATGGCATTACAGCATTGCACTTATACGTAGTTCCGGACATAAGGCTGTCGTAATTAAACAATTATAACTACAAAACTAAAATACAAAAGGAAGCGAGTGCGAGGCAGTCAAGACTTGCTGATCATACCAAACTAAGTTTTGCAGACACACACAAAAACGTTTCACAACTGCGCGTTTTTCCTTGAACATAGGCCTTGTGTCTGGAATTAATATTCATTGGTTACAGCTTGTAATAATTACATATCAGCATATTGCTTTTTATTTTTATTACATTCATATAATCGTGTGTGCATCTGTGACAATATCTCGTCATGGTCCACGGTCAAGACATGTCATCGTATACCAGTTGCGTAGGTCGATGCTCATGCTGTTGATCACTGGATTGTCTGGTCCAGACTCGATTATTTACAGACCGCTGCCATACAGCTGGAATGTTGCTGAGTGTGGCGTAAAACTAAACTCACTCACTCACTCTTATCTGTACAAAATCAAGCAAATTCATTGCTATTCCACATAACCTGAAGAGTACTTATCTCAAATACTTTCTATGAATTTAGAAAAAAGTGTTTCCTTGACAACGTTAGGGATTATAGATGGTGTATCTTTAAGACAGTTATTTGGAGGAACATCTGCTTGACCCAGCAATGTGTCTTTGTTATACTAATTTTTATGGAGCATTAGAATCCAGTTTTTATGAAAAGGAATGGATTTGTCTTTAGGTTTTACTGCCAAACCAAAAGTTGATTGTACTGATGAAAGGTTTTAGCAGTGTCACAGTGTTGAATTATCTGGTGAAAGGTCTCTACTGCCTGTCTATACATAGCAATACATTGGTCAAGGTAGTAAGTTAAAGACAACAGACACATTGAGTGCATGATATCCCAAATCCTTCACGCTTCTCTGGATTATTTTTTGTAAGTAAGCAACGAAGATTTTTTCTTAGTATGAAACCTACATTCGTAACTACTCGTGTCATTCCGGCAAGCCGGATGGCATCTCGTACCCATCTCGTTGCCATGTTAACGACTGGGTCTTGTCTAAGAGCAAACGGGCACGGGGATGAAAATAGTCTAGTACTATATCCAAAGAAAGATTGAATTTCCACACATGGCTATTCCTGGAATATCCCATATCCCGTGGTCTATACAGTCATTCCCTTCGTAAAGATGTTTCAGTGGTCAAAGTTGCTGATCGTTTAGCTCAAAGTTTACGTTTAAATTGTACTTTGCATAGTTTAGCGAAGTTTCAAAGTTCGATGGTGCCGCCATTTTCATACTTCGATATGCGTTTTACTACGCGCGATTTGATTGGTTTGCAACGATTCTTGGCAATAATGGCGTACGATAGGGATACGAGTCTTCTTGTAGGTCACGGAAAGAGGCGAGTAGTTACGAACGATGAAATCCGTTGGAAGTAGGTGAAAGGACGTAGCTGTTGACTGGTATAAGGGGCGAAACTCTTACAGGACTAGATTCGGTGAAAACTACATCTTTTGTTTCTGTAGGTCTCGTGTTTGCTAAGGCTTAATGTCAAAAATTATGTATGTTTACGCATCTTTGAATTATTCATTCTGTGTAAGCATAAGTTAGGCAGTTTGTTTGTTACTGACAGGAAACCAACTGTTGAAAGACCACATAATTAGACTGCCTTGTCAAATGTACTAGCTGCAATGGGTGCAGACTGGTATTTGGGGCGTAACTCTTACAGGAATAGATTCGGTGAAAACTACATCAGAGTCTTGTGTGTCTGTAGGTCTTGTGAGTGAGTGAGTATAGTTTTATGCCGACTTTTGCAATATTCCAGCAATATCACGTCGGGGCTTCACACGTTGTACTCATGCGGGGAATCGAAATCGTGTCTTTGGCACGACGAGAAAACGCTTTAATATTAATCGCCAGCCAACTCAACCACCCCTGAAGTCTTGTGTTTGCTAAGGCCTAATGTCAAGAATCATGTATGTTTATGTCTTGCCTGTGTATGGCAGGGAAACCAAGTAGATATGTGAGTAAGTGGAGGCTCTGCCTTCTACGCCTTTCCTTTTGTCGATTCACTGGCGTTATCAGCTTAGAGCAGAGCCAATTATGTTAATTATGTTGGGGTGTTTTTGTTACGCTCAGTATATATACTTCGCATCCATTTCATGTTACATTCCTGCTTAACAACGGTACAAGAATCGGTATCGAAACGTCGCACTCACGTAAAAGAAGTTGTTATCCATAAATTTTTCCTATATTATTGTTTATGAATCGCAATAGATTTGTGATAATACCGGGTGTTCGCACAAAGGTATGCGTACCATGCTTCGTCGATTACATGTCAAAAACACTTGCAAAGGCAAGTCAATCAACATGTCAAGACAGAGCAGTGGTGGATGGCATGAATTACACCCCATTATTTTACCGGCCAAAAGGTATGCATGAGTCACAACCAATCTGACCACTTCCCCTCTGTGGGTGAGTGCGTGGGTTTCACGCATTATACCCATCTTGGGAATCGAACCCGGGTCTTCGGCGTGACGAGCGAACAGTTTAACCACCAGGCTACCCCACTGCCAACTTCCCTTCTGCAGCCTAGTAAGACAGACACAGATTGCCGGGGACCTATCACTGCCAGTGTATGAAGCTCTGGATAAGGTGACCAGGAATCAGGAACAATGCCCCTCTGTTCCGGAGCATAACTAAAATACGGACAAAGGAAAGACTGACATTTTCTGAATTTTATTTAAGCAAAAGCACAAATATCATGAGTATATTTTCCAGCTAGTAAGATATAAGGTAGGAGGACAACATGTGGATTATTACAATTATTATTATTATTATTACAAAGTAATATATTATGCTGACAAAGTCCTGCCACACCTGCGTGACAGTGTATGAAATAAGCCAGAAACCCACCCCGACATCAGGGCTTCAAAATGTAATCAGCCCAAAAGGAATTTAACCAGACCAGACACCAAGATATGATGAATTTACTCAGACGTATGGAACATCTAAATTTTTTACCAGACCATCGGGCTGGCTAGCTGTAATTTAGACCGTCCGTCAGAAATCTAGCCCGTCTCGGGTGGTCGGACAGGCCTTATTTCATACTCTGTGTGTGACCGTGTAAATTGCTATGTCAGTGGTAGAGTTTTTAACCAAACATTATCTAAGATACTCAACACTTAGAAGATTGATTTCCTACTATGAATATGACGTTGGTCAGCAGCCTTGATGTTAGGATGAGGATCATACAAAACATATTCAAACAAATGAGAAAATGATTAAGTAAACAGACTTTAAAAAGAACATACAAAAGAAAACAGTAAACAAAAACACCACCAAATACTATTAAAATGATAACTGGTAACACGATACTGTATTGTACCTAATTATGTTGCAAATTGGCACTGGTAATACATTAAAAGAGTCACTATTTTAATATTTTCAGTATAAATATTGTGGATTAAAACCAGGCCTAGTTATTAGAGATTCCAAAGCATTCATGTCTATCAAGTCCTGACATAAAGGTGCAGTGTGCGTATGTCTTGAGTTGAAGGTACAGGTTTTAGCCACAAAACTGTTGCCATAACACACATTTGGAGGATAAAGTTCCTTCTATTGGATGCAATCATTTAAACATTTCACATGAAACTATCAGATAACTATGAAATTAGTCAGTCTCCCTGGCGTTAGGACACGAGTATATAACTATACTTATATATTACACTTTTTCCAACAAAAGAAAATATAGACTAAGCAAATAAACTGAATATAACTAAAAGCAAGTAATATGGATAATCAAAATCAAATAAACACACTCTTACTAAAACCTGAAAAAAAAGAAGATTTTGCTAACAACTGGTTAAAACTACGGCAGATAGAAATTCCTCAAAGCACAATTACAGTCTTCGAAACATGTGTACAGTTGTGTATTATGATTAGCATTGCTTAAATCCGCTGGAATAACGTACACCTGATAATCCACTAGAATCACCTTAAAATTATACGAAACTGTAAATACATCAAAATGTAACAAGAAGACTGAAAATCACTTTCAAAACGATAACTGGAGACACGACACTGTAGCACATCTAGTTATGAAGCAATGTACTTACTTATCAGAGTCAATATTTGAATAAGTTGTGTGTAATATTGCGGACTAAAACCGGAACAGAATTCTATAATGCCTCCTTGAACCAAATGTCAACAGATGCCAAAGTTCAGCTTTCTCAGTCTGGCAATTTTAGAGATCAGTCTATAAACCGACCAGACAATGAAGAGATCGATGAACGAGATAATATATTCGTTCATCAGCCGCAAAACTACAATGCAAAACGCCTAAACCAATGTTCTGTTCGGGAAGGGTTAAAGGTATATTCGGTACTCTGCTACAGTGACGATCAATCACGAGTAATCAAACTAAATATGTTCCTATGAAAACTAGAACTCATATTGAGTTAAATGAACCAACAGAATACAAATGCTAAAACTACAAAGTTCTAATATATTTAATTTATTAACTCATCTATCCTCGGACATGATCAATAACTATTTAAACTTGGATGTTAAGTTTCAAACACATTTACTATTGTAGAGGTATAGAGGTTATGTTATAAAGGTTTGAATTGCATAAACAAATGTAAACGGCTCAGGAAAGGATCATGATAGTTACAAGGGATGGTTGTCACGTCCTGATCCTGTCTATGAAGAATATCCTTTATTACCTTATCAATGAATTAGAATACATTTGCATAGTTATTAGTCAATGCACATGAAACCGTATTCAAAGGTTTCATGGGTAGTACTAATCTATCTCTCCCTGTTTAAATATGGACGACCTTGACAGTTTGCCACCTTTGGCATTGAAATCCAATTGGCTTGGAGATTCAACTATTACTACCAAGAAAAGTAATTTTTATCAATTACTTCTAGAATAAGATATTTAGATGATGATACACATTATGTTTAAACAAATTGGACCTAAAGATACACACTAAACGTTATTATTTGAAATAACAAGTCCCTGGAAACATAGTTTTTAATCAATAAGAGTTATGTCCCTTTGAATATCTTTCGGTAATGTTCTTTGCGACAACAATCATGCCGAGATGCTTTGCGTTCCATACCGTGAAAGAAATAGAAGAAAAAACCTGCATATTTGAAGCTAGCTTGATGTCTAAACACAATGTTCTTTATTTCAAGGATTCCTGTTGTTATTCAACAGAATGAAATGTCATTTAGATTGAAAAACACTTAAAAAAACACTTCAAGAATAGTGTTGCTTGTTTTGCTCTAATTCCCGAAAATGTTTCTTCTGTTCCACCAGAATCAATGGATTCTCCCACCACAGTGGACATAGGGGCTGCACAGCTTCCGGTTTACGCCTGTAAATTAAAGACAATACGTGAGTGCACAAGACATTCTCAGTTAATGACGGATATCTTGTCTATTGTTGACTAGTTTACATATCATGAAACAGTACGGTCATAAATATTTTAGTATATGGTAGCTATAGTATGTGGCATAACTTATAGCCTAATCAGAGCCTTGTTGTTAGCTCTTACAAATATGTCATTGCAACACTGGGGTCGGACATATCTAGGAACCTTGACTGCCAGTGAAGATCACACAATTTTAATCCTCAAATGACATCAGTTACATCAGTTACATGATATATTTTCTAGCGTAAGACATTTAGAGCAGACTTGACATTCAGCATCAGCATAATTAATGATGACCTTTTGAAAAATGGAACATTGTAATGATAACATAGCACATGGTACTGAATATGACCACTTACTCTGAATATAACTATGTAAGTATGTTCAGCACGCACCTTTAGTGATTTCTCAAACTGTGAAACCATGTGTGTGTAACCACCCGGTTCCGTATTCTTAGAATAAGCGTCAAACGCCGGCGTCAGTTGATCTGGTTCCTTCGTGACGTCAAGTTTAGCGATGACAGTGTTGAAACAAGTGTATAAAGTGGATATCTTCTCGTTGAGTTTCCATGCTTGTTTTTCCTGGTCATCGGTAAGGTCCTCTCTGCCGAGTAGTGTTTCCAGTTTGGACTTGCCATGACGTACATCATCATACATCACTTCAAGTTCAATCAGTGCAGCATCTACACCGCGGTTCCTTACAACTTCTGGGATTGAAGGGTCAAGTGTGCTCAGAGGAACCAGTTCACACATCAATGGAACTCCTTTCCCATTCCCCTCCTTTTTCACCTCATCATTAAAGGCATCGAGAGTTTTCAGCATGCTCGCAATATCTCGTGGCACGGTGTCGATGAGAATTGTTGCATACAGTGATATCTGCATGCTGGAGCTACCTCGAATGTCTTTCTCTAGCATCTTGAGTTCTGCTTTGGCATTAGCGTCCAGTGCCCCTTCAAACGACATGCCAGCCGAAACCTGTCCCCTTATGTCTTCCACATTTGTTGAATCTGATGCCTGTATCCGTATGTTTGCAAACATATTTCCACCATACTTGATAGTCCGGATGAAGTGTGTTCCAATACTGTTTATGTTTAAGTCGGGATTAAGGTCAGTGCTGGCCATTGTTTCTTCTACCTTATGAAAAATAAGACAAATTGTAGATTCCAAATAACATAGAGAGCTTGGTGAAGAATTTTAGAATACAATTATTAAAATATCACATGGTGTATATTTAATCTCCTACTAGTTGCCATTATTATCTCATGCTATACAGAAATTATTTAGTTCACATACCATTTTCACATGTGCTGTGGTCAAAATGTCTATGGTGTTTTCTGTTGATCTGTCTTGCTTTAGGTATTTCCCGGCAACATCGGCATTTGCTAGACCTGCTTTCACCTTCAGAGCAAACTCCCCCTTGATGCCAAGGGCCTTGTTAACATCCTTACAGTTCTTGATATCATAGTACCGATAGTCACTCTCAGGAATTTCAGTTGTCTTTAACGCAGCAAGAGCCTTTTCCGTGAAGATGTCACTTCCGACAGACATTGTTCGCAGATCGTATGTCCTGCCAAGGGTCATGCCGGTCTGGAATGGTACAATTTCCGACATTCTTCTTTGTTTTAACTGCAATGTAAATGTTGGAAAATGTTTTAGAAGCATTATTTTTGATGCACTGGGACGTCAGAATCGTAATTTAAACTTAGTCGGAAATTTGACTTGTGTATTTTCGGAAATCAGTCATACTTGTAATACACTCTTCAAAAATAAGAAACGCAAAACCCAAATATCAATGAAAATTTGGTGTTATTCAAGGACGTGTAGATCAGCGGAAAAAACGCAAAGATACATGAATGAAATTTTGTGGAGCAATGCATTGCTATCTTGTCCATATTTCATGAGAATAACAGTCATCACAGTCATTACTGCTGTCCACCAGGTGGTGTTGAAGTCAGTACCTCGTATGACCACCTCCAGCTGCTACCACTGCCCGACACCTCCTGGGTACAGATCGAATCAGTCGTTGGATGTTTTGTTGTGGAATCCTTCTCCATTCCTCCTGCAGCATGTGGAACAACTGTTGAAGATTCTGTGGTGGAATACGACGTCGACGTACCCGTCTATCGATCTGATCCCAAAGGTGTTCGATTGGGTTTAGATCCGGGGATCTGGAGGGCCAGGGGAGGGTATTGATGTTGTTATTGGCCAGGTAGTCCACGGTGGCACGTGCTGTGTGGGGCCTGGCGTTGTCCTGTTGGAAGAGCTGCCGTTGACGGTCAACAAAGTGAAGGACGTGCGGACGGAGAATCTGGTCGATGTATCGATTGGCCGTCAGATTGCCTTGGACAAGCACAAGTTCCGATCTGCGGGTGTATGAGATCGCTCCCCACACCATAACACTCCCTCCACCGAATCTGTCCACCTGTCTGATGCAGTTAGGAGCAAAACGTTCATGACGTCGTCTGTAGACACGGTCTCTACCATCACGTCGCCTGAGGAGATAACGGGATTCATCGCTAAACCATATGCGCCTCCAGTTTGCCAGGTTCCATGGCAGCACCGTGTTACACCATCTCACTCGTCGACGTCGATGTAGTCGTGTCAAGGAGGGGGCAACTTTTGGACGTTTGGCACGTATTCCTACTTCTCGGAGACGGTTCCTGATTGTCTGATCGGACACTCTTCGGGCTCCAAACTGTTCTTGTGCTGTGTCCCGGGCGGTACGATGGCGGTCACGTAGGTGGGTTACCCGGATGTACCGATCTTGGGCAGGTGTGGTGACTCTAGGTCTTCCTGATCTTGGACGGTCATTTGTCGAATTTGTTTGACGAAATCGATCCCACAATCGAGTTATTGTGCTGGGATGAACGTTGAAGATCCTTGCCACCTCACTCTTTGATTCGCCAGCTTGCAATCGTCCAATTGCCTGATTTCGATCGGCAGCGTTGAGACGTCCCATTTTCGTGTACAGTACTTGCAAAGATCGTGGATGAAATTGTGAGATTCATTTGGGTCTTTTATAGTCACATGCTGTACTCATGCTTTGCACGTGAGAAACAATCATTGTGCCTGATATTCGTGCTGCATGACATCCACGCACATCATGACAATCCTGATTGATAAAACCGTTCAAAATCATTTTTGGTTGCGTTTGGTCAAGCATGATCTTCTAAAACATTCCAGAAACAATGTGCAACCCTAAAAAAATGTTTGAGTTTACATATGTGTACAAAATTGTAAGTATCATTCTTGAATTTCATTTTGCGTTTCTTTTTTTTTTGAGAGTGTATTCCGGCATGGGTAGGAGCAGTCCAGTCAAGGTCCCTTAATCCAATACATTGCTGACCAATTACAAAAGATCAAAGGCATTCTAGAGATAAAGAGATTGACGAGTGTAAATGCCAGCCATGTTGGAAAATGATTGTCACTGTCTAATTCGGCACCCTGTTTAAACCGGCATTTCATTTCGGTCCCGTGGGGTGCCGGTTTAGACAGGTTTCATTGTATACACTTTTGGCGAACACCTGGTGCCATATCGTTGATTTTCAGTGGTGCAATCATATAATTTCCACAGCTAGTTTATCTTTACACCAAAAGGAACTTGTTTCAGAGGATAGACAAAACTGGTTATCCTGTGCTCTGACGTTCCGCATTGTAAACGTCTTCAGCCATTTTAAGGATTCAATCCATATATATTATCCATAATAATTATTATATACCTTCTTTTTGATCAGTTTGAATTATGACAAGGGATTTTTTTTCATATATGACATGCTAAGTTTTCTTGATTTAGAAGCTCAACAGCAATAGTTGTGCATTTGACCCATCAAGCAGGAGAGGGAACTGTCTAGCCTACCTTTATTCGTTCCCCTTGGCTTGTGTTCGCAGGTCGAATGGTACCAGACAGACGCAGGTATTGTAGGCAGACTTCGTTCAGCTGCAATGCGTAGACACTAAACGGAGTTTCGCCCACGGTTTGAGTCTTAGAGCCGAATCACTCTGATAAGTATCATAGTTGACCCAATGAGAAAACTCGTTACATTTTGGCCAATGATGGGTCGAAATATAGCCGAGCCTTATGGGAATGCAGAAACTCCTTATATGGTATATTAAATTTCAAATGTATTTTGTGTGATAGATACATGACAGTCAGATGTGAGGTAGCAGGACGTTTGTCACTTATTATGCCTACGTGAAACTAAAGAACCTTAAGCTTCCTGAGGGTACTACTAGTATTGGAGGTAATCTTTAGAGAGAGAGAGAGACAGACAGACAGACAGACAGACAGACAGAGAGAAAGAAATCAATCCGAAGTTTATTGATACATGAGTTCAATCAAACATAAAACACATCAGTATTTACATATAGGACAATGTCATTGATAGTTGACAATTGATATGTATGCATTCACAAAGGGGATGGCGTCGCTTGTACACAGAGTGTCTCCATTAAAATACAAACTCGAGATATGGTTTCAAATGATAGACATATGTTGCAAAGTGTATAATGACAACATGATATGTGTCCCGCACTAAGGATCGCGTGAACTGTGTATCTGCACCTTGGAGAGTTGACAGCATTTCGTCGTCTTCCAACATTTCAAAATTTACATAGGTTTCAACATCAAGTAGATCAATCAGAGATGAAAAAAAGTCATTTCGGAGAGGTAAAAAAGTGTCGAAGTGTAGTATCACATGGTTGTCATAATCATAAGTGTGCTTGTTACATAGCAAACATTCTTTTGAGACTTTATTTCGTGATGAACTTTTGAAACATAATTGTAAAGCTGATCCGTGTTCATGGTATAAAAATGCTAGTTCAAAAGTATGTGATATGTCAGTGATGTGTAACGAGACAGTCCTGCGTTAAATGATACTTTGTTACGCCACATTTGTTCTTCGTATTCTTGTACATGTTTGTTTACTATTCGTCTCCACTGGTGTTTTGGGGGAAATGAACCACTGTCGAAATAAGTATGTAAGTAGTTTCTAAGATTGTATTTGCACAAAACAGACTGAAGATCTCCACAAATAGTTGAATTTCGGGGCGGAATAGCCACGGAAGCACAGAATATGAGTTTTATGAGATTGTCACAACTAGTGTTGCATAAAGAGCCAAAGAACTGAAGTTTACTTTTATCAATGTACCCAATCATGGTCCACAATCCTAAGTTTGCAATGATGGATTCAGATCTAGTCCCTGCACAGTGCGGGCAAAGTACCGCTGCGTGTTTTCTAGCTAACAAAGCCGCTGCCGGGGAATTGTTCGATTTACGTTTCTGTGTGTTATGTGCATTGAATCGGATTTTTAGTTGACAGTAAAGTTCATTTGACAGTGTAAAATGTAGTTTGTGACAGAGAGGCAAAGTTAAGCCATCTGTAAAATTAAAGATCTTGTCTGTCATTTCGGAGCTTGAGTATCTTCCTGGGGAAAAGATATTCTTACAGAGAAACGACAATCGGTTGACGGGTGGTAGGAATGCAGGAAAGGTCGACGTAACCTCATGCGTCGTGATAAACAGTGTTATATGACCCGTTGAGGTTTTTATTAAGCCAGACTTGTCGAGGAGAATACGTACATTTTCCCAGGAAAATAACGAGAAATAAACACTCTCTTCTTTATTATAAGAAATCTCTGCTGAAATATATGCCATCAAATGGTGAGATACCAGATGTTCGCGGAAAGATGAGCTTGATTTGCCACACCTGTGGGATAAGTCACAAATACTTGTAAAGGTAAATCAACTTTGACAATATGGCATAAGTAATAACAATGATTCCCAGCAGACTCAATTTTGGTGTTATTAATTCAACAAGTTAGAAATTTCCTTGAAGCACCTGTAATAAAAGATTATGCATCTCTTCCTCAGGATTTGAATGCTGTAAAACCGAACAGAAAACATTTGTTGGCAGATGGTGAGTCTCAGCTATAGTGTGTCACATTCTACCTCCTGGGTGAAAATGTGGAGCCTGCTGTCAACAGCTGGTTGTTCTGGCAATTGAATAAGTGAAAAACTAAACAAATACTTTCGGATTATTTATAGATCATTAAGACATGGAGTGCTCCTCAAACAAACTGCGTTCACTTTTACCCTTTACTTGCGGCATCAAAGGTTAGTGAGTGAGTTACGATTTAAAGTCACATCGGCAATACTTCAGCCATATGACTAAAATCAAATTATAATTTTGGAATAAATAAGGGTAAAAGTTTTAAAAAAATGTCCCTGGAGGACAGTAAATACAAATTAGAATATCACCGATATCAATATAAAACTAGTATGTAAATCTAAAACAGTTAAATTACAGAAGACAATACAATATCAAAACAGGCTATATATTGCCAACAACTGAAGGTATATCAAAATACTAGGGATCATGGTCAAAGACTGGTGAGTTGCATGAGAATCATGTAAAACGTATTCAGAGATTCTCCATCGGGAGCACAGCCCTTCTGACGCTCTGGGTATTGCAAAAGGCTGCAGTGTTGGGGAGTCCACATATTCTCCGGAAGGTTCTTGGTGGGTTCGACTAGACAGCGTTTCCTGGGAGAAGTCCCATTCGCTGTCTGAGCTGACGTGTTGAGGGGCAAGGGCCCTGAGCTGTTGATGAGCCTTATCAGTCTGACTGTGCCAGGATCACCCAAACCCTCTCTGCTGCATTTTCATCTTAATCACAAAAACATAACCAAAGTATGAGTGGTTGGTGCTAACTATGAAGCAGGGCATCGTGATCCTTTCCAAGTTCACGTGATGTCACTGATTTGCATCAATTGTCGTTCATACTATAGTCTTTATTCATGTAAATGTAGGCCATCGGCCCATGGTACAACGTTATACATTGGCAGCCTTCAAGCTGCAGCGACGACGATTGTTAGCATAGAAGATGAACATGGCAAGATTTCTTAAAACAAGAGGAGTAGCATTACTCATCAGTCGATTAAATTTACACAAGGTTGGATGGGTGAAAACATCGACAGGGATAAAACGTTTACGTAGATCATCATAGACAGTACAAATCAGTAAAAAGTGGTACTCATTTTCTACATATTACAGGAACACATTTCACACAATCTTGAGTATTTTGGTTTCTTTATATATCTACCAGATTCTATATTCAGTCGTCGTGAACTACACCTGAACCTCTCTAAGGCAATACGAAATTTCTTGATAGTTATGCAATGGAGATATGGCTCAACACCAAAAATAAATTTAAATTGAGAATATAGGTAGGTTTTTGAGCCACTAGACAACGAGGAATGCCATTCCTGTAAATATGTGTGTTGGGCTCTAGATATGAATTCAGAAATAAATAGGTTTATATAAGGAATAAATTGATTTTCCCATACGTATCCAAAACCCATTGTATACAATAGGTTTGTTAATTTTGATGTCCAGTTAATTTTACCATTTGAAGCATCTAACAGTAATAAATTGTAACATTTCTTAGGGAAACGTATAGAAGGCATACTTAACAGTTTGTACCAATACATAATACAGCGTTTGTACGCAAAAATATACATAGGGTATCTCCCGAATTCGCCACGTACAACGTGGTTAGGGGTACATAGTTTAACATAGAGTAAGTATTTACAAGCTAGGGTATGCACTGTTTCAATGGATGAATTACAATCACAGTCTAGACCCCATACTTCGGCACCATAAAGCAAAATAGGCATTACTTTAGTGTCAAAAATTCTGAAGAAGACATCACATTTCATGTGCTCGAATTTTGATAAACTTTTCAAAATACCGAACAAAGCCTTTTTAGATTGTAAAATAAAGCTCTCAAAATGTTTATGCCATGACAATGTTTGTGAAAATACTATTCCCAAATATCTATATGAAGAAACGCACTCAATTAATTTACCTCCTAGATACCATTTTTCGTGCTTAGTAAGGATGCTACCATTTCTAAACACAACAATTTTAGATTTATCTAAGTTGACATATAGCTTGTATCCCTTGCAATGCTGTTCAAGGACATTAATACGTTTTTGTAGCCCATAGATGGTGTCAGAGAAAAGAGTGACATCATCAGCAAATAGGAGAAACAACTGAGTTAATTCTGGATGTAACTGTATGCCCGGATAACACAACGATTCAATATTATCAGCTAAATCGTTTATAAAAATGGAGAACAAGAAGGGACTCAAGACACATCCTTGACGAACTCCAATATTACAGTCGAACAACTGTGAAAAAGAATTATTGACTTTAACGCAAGATTTAACACAACTATAGATGGATTTGATGCAACCTAACATCTTGGGTGTTAATCCTTTCTGTTGCAAAACTAACCATAATTTCGATCTATTTACCAAATCAAATGCTTTCGAAAAGTCGATGAAGAAAGCATACAACTTACCCTTTTTCGATAGAATTCTCTGTGTAATAGAATGAAGAATAAAGATGTTGTCGACGGTCGAGTATCCTGTTCTAAACCCTGCCTGTGCCTTGGATATTTTAGCATAAGCTTCACTCCAAAATTTAAGTCTGTCGTTAATCACTGCAATATAAAGTTTGCTAAATACACTGAGAATAGTAATTCCTCTATAATTTGGAACTGAATCTTATGATTCGGAACAATAAGACCAACCGACCACTGAGCAGGAAACACACCATTATCAAAGATCATGTTGAATAGAACTGTTAAATACGGAACAAGAATATCAGAAGAAAACTTGAAAAATTCAGCAATTAACTTATCATCACCCGCAGAGTTATTTACTAATGTCTTCAATGGTTTTCTGCCCTATTGAATCTACACTCTCTTGACAGCTTCAACTTATGGATCATCTTAACAAAAGTATTAAGTGCAGTGGTATTAAATACGTTACGTTGTGAGAGGAAAGAATGTAACTGAAAGCAATAGATTAACTGATGAACACGAGGGCCTCTCAATCTCTCAAAGATAACCCTAAATGTATCATCGACCCGTGAAGATCCGGGGTAGAATAGGTCTTCAGCAACCCATGCTTGCCACAAAAGGCGACTATGCTTGTCGTAAGAGGCAACTAACGGGATCAATGGTCAGGCTCGCTGACTTAGTTGACACATGTCATTGTATCCCATTTGCGTAGATCGATGCTCATGCTGTTGATCACTGGATTGTTTGGTCCAGACTCGATTATTTACAGACCGCCGCCATATAGCTAGAATATTGCTGAGTGCGGCGTAAAACTAAACTCACTCACTCACTAAATGTATCATCATTGACAACTGGCACCCCGGCTCAAATAACATTACTAGCACTGAGTGAATATTAGTCGTTCAGAATACAACATGACACACATTGTTACTACAGCTGACGGGTCTGTATTTAGATCTGTTGAGTCAATGTCAGATACATGAGGCCCTTACTGCATTCCCGGAGACAAAATATTCTTTCAAAGAAAAGTAAAACAAAGGCATTTTGCTATATCGATGCACTGTTTGTTGAGTCATTCTCAGCGAGATTCGGGTGTGTCAATATCAGAGGAAAGACGAGGATCTTACTGCATTCCCCGGGACAAAATATACCTTCAGAGAAAAGTAGAAAAAGACATTTTGCTATATCCATGCACAGTGTGTTGAGTCATTCTCAGCAAGATCCGGGTGCTCTAATATCACGAAATGGTTGTATTTCACCTGATGATATTACAGCATTCCTGGGGACTAAATATACCGTCAACAGAAAGACATTTCGCTATATCCATCCATAAATCATTCTGACCACGATCTGGATGGGCTGATACATTTCTGTCAAACAATGATACTGGACCATGTATACCCACAGATGACGAAACAAACACACTGCTCTATACACGTGGTATGCTCACATTTCAAATCCTCGTTGATAATGTCGGGATACGACGCCGGGCTTTTACAGAACCGTCAACCTTAACAAACAATAACTTTGCGAAAAAACCTCACGGTGCACACAATAACCCGCAGTCTGCACGACATAAGGAATATGAGGAATATCATCAGTAGAAATCTGACATCTAGACTTAAGGTGAGTTGACCCGGAACGAATCCTCAACGGACCAGGATTCGTGTATCATTAGGGACATGAACTGGTGTTTGTTACGCTGATCTGTCACGTGACAAGGCCCGCACTCTTTCCATAGTCTCTTCTCTGTGCTTCAATCCACAGGGGTTCGAATCATTGTTTGGACAATACTTCAATCACACTGCGGCGACAGTGACAAGATCGGGTTGTACATACATCAAACAGGTTCTCAAATTTTGGATCCAAAAGACGTCAACACTTAAAACGTAAGTCACATTTGAGAGAAATTCCGTTAAGTACATGATTGCTCTAAAGGTAATAGATATAGATTATTACTGAGTGAGTGAGTGAGTTTAATTTTACGCCGCACTCAGCAATATTCCAGCTATATGGCGGCGGTCTGCAAATAATCGACTCTGGACCAAACAATCCAGTGATCAACAGCATGAGCATCGATCTGCGCAATTGGGAACCGATGACATGTTTCAAACAAGTCAGCGAGCCTGACCACCCGATCCCGTTAGTCGCCACTTACGACAAGCATGGGTCCTGAAGGGTAATATTCTAACCCGGGTCGTAAATGATCACTGGAAAGTACTAGTTGGGAATGACTGCTGTATAGTAAGAACTGTAAATGATTGCTGGAAAATAATGTAGATGGTTGCTGGAAAGTAATGGTCGGGAATGATTGCAAGAAAGTATTGATTGGGACTGATTGCTAGAACGCAATGAATGGGAAAGATTGCTAGAAAGTAATGCATGTAAATGATTGTCTGAAAATAATGAATGTAAATGATTGCTGGAAAGTAATGAGTGGGAATGATTGCTGCAAAGTAATGAATGGGAATGATTGTGAGTTCACTATGTAGAGCAAGGTCCCATGGTCGTGCAAGTAACTTGTTCTAGTTCCTACTGATTGTGTTCCCAGGTCTTATTGTCACCATACGTTTATGGAGTTCAGTGGGGCAAAGTCGAAGACTTACTCTCACACTTACTTTTCACAGTTCGGGCTTCCACATAAATCGTATCTAGCTGATATACTGTCTAAATCAGCGTTAAATCATACTCACTCATAGAGGTCAGTTAGATCATGTTTCCGAGATACACGTATAACTGACTGACTGACTGACTGACTGAGTTTAGTTTTACGCCGCTTTTATCAATATTCCAGCAATATCACGGCGGGGGACACCAGAAATGGGCTGAACACATTGTACCCATGTGGGAATCGAACCCGGTTCTTCGGCGTGACGAGCCAACGCTTTAACCACTAGGCTACCCCACCGCCCCATACATGTATAATAGCGAGTTAGAATGTTAAAGGGTTTTAAAAAATGTCACTTAACATTGTTAAGTTTTGCTCTTAATGAACCCTTGGGTATATATAATATTCACAAAATACAGTTAAAAACGGTAATATTTCATTATACAGCTTGTATTAGGAATCTAAAACGCACCTCCCTCGAAAGCTTTTCGCGATTACGCAAGATAATGGGGTAGATGGTCACGTGGTCGCGTGACGTCATACCGGAGAGTCGCACACGGAAAACACATCAACACACGGAAAATACAGTGGTACCGAGCCTGTTCGCTTACTGAAGTCTGCTTCTAGGTTAGAAAATAAATCAATCCACGAAGTCAAACCTGGATTTGGATGGCATACTAGATACAGATATCACATACATACAACCTTTTCAATTTGAAAGTGTTTCTAGCGGCAACATCGACAGGGGTATTGTCGACGATTCCACCAGTGTGGGACGATCCCGATCCCGACTATGTTTTGAATAGACCTACTGCAGACTGGTATGCAAGTCACTTGCCTGTCACATGTTCATGGAAAACTGATGAGATACCGTGGTCACGGTAAAATTTGCAGTCATGATAACGGCAATGTTCGATCAATGTGTTGAGGCTGTCTTCCGGTATACATCGGTATGGGAAGGTAAACACTGAAATAGTTACGTTCGAGGTTCATGATTTTATGAAGGTTATTAAGTAACTTTCAGCTTTATTTCATAAACTGCGTCTTCTGCTAAATTTATCCGTAAAGGCTTTAGTATGGTGATAATCCTTTCTATGAAATACGTACCGTTACGGAAGTCGATAACTTCGATCTCACTACTGTATTGTAGAGAAGTACCCTAAATTCGTTTGTGGATGTTTTCGGAAAAGTCGGTGTATCGTCTCTGGTATGGTGCATCAAACATCAGTTTTATTACATTTTCAATTTCCATACAGTGTAAAGCATCGGTTATATGTCGTGATACTTAGTCATATAAATCTGCAAAATATACATAAAATGTAAAATGATAAAGACCTGTAACCTCCTTAGCAGCCTATAATCGATGTAATAAATAACATAGATGGAAAAAACAGAACTGACAAATCATTTTCTTTCTCTTCAACTATCAGCTAGTGAAAAAGAAATTCTTCATTGTGTTCTAGTAGTAATGTGTAAAGTGTGCCAACGAAAGACCAGCGATCAAATCAAGAAACCAGCACTCAAAAATTAAAGCAAATAATTTATTTGCATACAAACTGTTTATGACAAAATAATGAATACAGTGTGTACACCAACATCATGAAAGCAAAGGCTTGCCTGTATATTAACTGGATGGACTGGTAAAAGCCTAAGAAAACACGATTGCTCTCCAATATAACATCATGTACGTGTGGTGACTGCAATTTGGAAACATTTACCATCTAAACAAGACCCAGGATTCAAACAGACGAATACAATATACCTATAGACATCAGGCACAACTGGTTTCAGTTCACACCCTAGACACATATACATGATTTCATTTTATATCTTGATGTCAGTGAATTCACCAGTTCCTGTTTACTAGTTATAAATGAAAGTGTCTGGCAGAATATCCAGGAAAAATAGGCTGTTGTTTCCTGCAAGTCTGTAGGAAGGAAACATGGTTCTTCTCTCGAGAATGGCCCTGAGTAAGAATTCCACATACTCTGTGAATATACTTTACATTGAATTAGAGACATTTTGTAAGACAATTTCAGTATATTTTGTTTTGGCAACCATAATGATAATATTCTTTGAAATCTGTACTAAAGAAGTAAGTACTTTTGTCTTGACAAATGCTGAGAGGGAAAATAGATATAAGGATTAAAAAAACTGTCTTTGCAAACAAGACTTAGTGTTGACTCATTAGTTAGGGAAAAACACGCACACGCACACGCACACGCACACGCACACACACACGCACACAATTCATATACCATTTTAACATGGTAGGGGACCAGTCCCTGGTGGATAATACCTGATGTGACTCATTTTTAATTATGTGCTCTCTCTCACCACCGCACCCATATGTTGCAAGTTCTCATTTGCGTCCGGAACGCAACTCTCTCGGTCTCAGTCCCAAGTTGACATTTCGGCCTCTGTGTTTGTTTGGAATGTCGAAAGGAATGCCCAATATATAGCATCCTTATAAAGTTTTAAGTTTTGCCTATTCGTATACATATTTCGCCAGAGGTTAGGTCTCTTTCACAGCAATTCTTCGAAAAGTGTAACGAGCACAGATGACCGTTCGTGGAGGGGTTCACAAAGTCCGCACGACGACAGTAAACAATCTATGCCCTACCTCTTGTCAAATAGAATTTCCCAGGAAATGCACATCCGTGTTGTTTACGCAGTTGGATAATCATCAAAACTCGAAGTGCAGTTTTCAGTTTCCAATACATAATCACAACAACGCTTCATTCAAATATTGCGCTTCGTGTCACTTTCAACTCGATGGCGTATACACTACGGAAATGTCAACACACTGAGCGGACTCTCGGGTATGACGTCACACCCACAGACGGCAGACCGGCAGAAAGAGTGGGCGGGGCTAAAGTGGTTTTAGTTTTGGTGCATATTTATAATTTTTACGACTATTTTTCGTAAATAGGTGGTGCAGATGTGGTATGTATTCATGTTTGAATGTCATTATGTTATAAAAATGCATAGTGTTTAACCTATATAAAAATCCTTTAACGAACATTATTGTGACGAGGCAGGGAACGTTTGAGAATACAGCGATGAGGTAGACTTTGTTTGCAAATAGAATGGTGGCCGTAAATGTTGCAGATTTACAACTTGTCGAGTCAAAAGATTTCTGAATATATTATCTAGGTAAAGAATGTGTTCTGTAGTTGTGGAGATCGATGCATATTGCATCATATATTAGTGAGTTAGAATCTTTGTGACGAAGCAGAGTATGGTTAAGAATACAGCGACGTAATTGTTGCATTTACAATTTATATATTGTCGAGTTGGAAGTTATTCGGAAATATATTTGTAAGGAATGCCGTCTGTTGTTGTGATACACTGAGATCGATGTATATTTCATCAGATAGTAGTCAGCATTTGGCATGGCCTTTAATCAATATATGTTTGAGGACTTATATCATTTCCAGTAAATCTTTCCGGTTCTGAATCCACATCCTGTATAGTATCATATTGTCAGTTACATGCCCTTCCTTTGTTGTCCCTTAAAATACTGAATGAAATCAAGGTAATACGCATATGCTTATGGAACTTTTAAACACACCTGCACCCATTTATGATGCAAATATACTTCCCATCAAGTTTAGACTCACTAGTGTAAATGTAGTCACTTACTTCAGGCAACTGTTCTAAACTAAATTTTGCAAAATATTCCATGCTGTTTACAGGTACTGTTTACACGTGAACTGATGTATTGTAAAACAAATTCGTACAGTTGAAAAGCTTATTGTCATGAGTTCAAGAAATGATAAAACTCAGTGAAAATTGGCGAATTCTTTACAAAACTTTACACCAAAACGCAGCGGTTCACATGCATGATATTTGCACATGCTTTTCAGCAATTTGATGCATGGTCCTCTTGCAATTCATCTGCATAAGGTTTGCAGTTGGTTCCCCCAAATTCATCTGCGATGTAACCATATATATGTACATAACATATATATAGTGAGTGTTTTAAATGAGTCTGAACTTTTGATGGGAAGTATATATCTTGATCAACAGTGCAACTCGTCATTTGATTATGTCAATCACAAAGAGATGAAAAAAAGTATTATCTAAGTCTGTGTAATTTCGTACTTCTGTAGATATCCATGGAGCTGAGGACCATCGTCTTTGGGCTGTTTGTTATACTTCCGGTCACCTTGTCCATAGATGAAGATGAAGTAGATGGAAAAACCTACAAGGTGGGTATATTATCGTTCATGAGTATCTAGGCTGATATATTCATTCATGGTGGATTTCAGTGGTCCAGTTCAATTCGCAGCCATTTACATGCCAATGCAGAATAAGCGGTGTGCATGTAGATACCTGTTTTGTGCTTTGAACATTATTTTTAAGTTCGGTCCTGTATTTAGATATTATGTTGATTGCGGTTATGTTACTTGTAACTTCAAGCAACAAGAAATTAAGAAAAAACAAAATCCTGTATCCTAGGAAAGTCAATACCACTCGATAAAACGGCAGTGGTTATTCTATCCATAACGTCCGAAATTTATTTGATTTTTTTTAAAATAATTTTTTTGTCCGTATTTACAAAAAATAAAAGAAACTCTTATTTCCTATGAACGTAAATAACCCTTTGAAAGTATATCTATCCCTGATTGTAAAGTGCCGCGGCTCATTTACTTATGAAAGACTTGTTCTCATTTAAACAAAAACATGAGAATTACCTGAAAAGATATAAGGATTTCAGGTCTGCATCATGATAAAACTGAGCAAGATATTTAGAATGTTAGAGAGAGTCTACTGCCACACAACAATTGTAGGATTGTGATTCATACACACATGCTAGACTTATATCTGGGCTGTAAATGGAATCAGCTTATAGCAGGCATTTCCTCTGACTAGAACGTGTTTTGTCGGTTACATTTACATACAGTACCTTTGTAGCAGGGCGTGGAGTCATCCCATTGATGACATCATTACCTTGTCAGCTTGCTTACGGGGTTAACCTCTTTGGTCATGTGGACAAAGCGTCCGACTTCCGATATGAAGGTCCGTGTTTCGAATCCCAGCACGGGAAATTTTATGGCCGCTATGTTAGCGCCCATCGTAGGGCTGAGCACGTTCATATGAAATGTCAGCTGCGGGGTGACTTACATTTATATACAAAAACCTATTTGATGTTATCATTTCCTTTCTGCACGTTTAGGACACAATAGAAGTGAAAGGCGTGACGTGCAGCTTTGCTGAATATAAAACCAATGACGGTGGAGGACCTCGCGGACTGCATCTCTTTTCGTGTAAGAATGGGAGCTTAAACATGGATAATGACTGCATTTACTACGGTGGGAACCCTCACGGCTGCAAGAAATATAAACCAAATCAGCAGAACAGTATCAAAAAATACTACACAACACTGGCAAGAAGTGCCATGGGCACAGACGAACCTTGCGAACCAGAAAACATTACTGAAAGTCTCTGTGACAAATTCTACGTTTGTATTCAAGGGAGCTGTATGAACAAGCAACTGACTAATTTCGATGATGAGTTATAGAATCTACTACAAGTTGAGCGTTTATCTTGTAATGCTGTAATGCTGTAATTAAAGCGATAAAAGGTAACCATGAGTTGTTGTCTCTGTAAACATATGGTATATTCGGGATTAAACTTTCTCAGTAAAGTACGGATTCTACTACCTGTGAGGTTGACTTCAATCCAGGATTCGACGCAGAATGTCAGAGTAAGGCACCTAATCACTAGCACACAATGTAGGCGATCTAAACTGCTCAGACTCCATGGGACCCGTGAAGATCCAGGGTAGAATAGGTCTTCAGCAACCCATGCTTGCCACAAAAAGCGACTATGCTTGTCGTAAGAGGCGACTAACGGGATTGGGTGGTCAGGCTCGCTGACTTGGTTGACACATGTCATCGGTTCCCAATTGCGCAGATCGATGCTCATGCTGTTGATCACTGGATTGTCTGGTCCAGACTCGATTATTTACAGACCGCCGCCATATAGATGGAATATTGCTGAATGTGGCGTAAAACTAAACTTACTCCGTGGCCTCAAGAACAACTGGTAGTCAAGATCACGTACTATGTGTACCCCTTTGGGACTGCTCCCATAGCCGAATGAAGACCACGTCTTTGTTTTCTCTCGAAATGCATGGTTGATGCATGTCATCGTATCTAGATTGATGCTCATCATGTCGATCACAACCTAGGTCCGATCATTTACGGACCGCCATTACATACCCGGAAATTTTCTGAGTGGGGTTTTCAACAACACATAACATCATGAGAATATCAATTAAAAATGCTTTACTCTATTATACTCGACAAAATAAGTTAGGGATATTGATATTTTTATGATTGACATTTTATCAGTGTGTCAATGAATAAATCATTATTCATAATTTCAAAATTTACATATATCCCTAACTATTTTTGTCCAGTATATATTGCTATGATGTATTGTATTTGACAATTACAACGTAATCCTGAAATACTTAATTCAAAGCATGTTTTCATTGCTCAGATCTCTTTCATTCTGAGTTGAATGTCCTCATGTTAGAGTGAATTTATATTCCTTGAACCTCTTCTCGGAACACCGCAGTTCTCCTCTTTGACCAGTCGCATTTTACGACAAACGTCGGTTGCTGAAGACTAATTCTTATCCGGATCATCAAGGCTGGACCTTTTTAGGAAAAAGACACGGATGACATAAAGAGGACAGACGATTCCTTATTTTAAATCCCAAGATATACATTGGTTATGATTCATGGTTCGTAAGCACCGTGCCCTTGCTCCCTGTAGCTAAGCATTGTCACTTTAATTTGGGAGTATTTGGAACGGCCTATAACAGACGACCATCTTGTTGCATCATCTGTCATTGAAAGCCACTATTAGTGCTTGCTTCCAGTAGCATTGGGAAATAACCTCTTCCTGTGAAAGTAAGTCTGACCTACCCTGAATTCCCGAGGATAAATTATTCTTACTCCGAACAGCAGTAGTTTTCTAAATGGTTGTCTAGTGGAAGGTTGTCCTAAACCTGACATTGTGTGTCATTTGAGGGTTGTGAGGACGGGCTTGTCAGAAGGCAAGTGAAACGGTAGTTTAATACAAGCATGTGAAGTGCTTGGTTGGTTGGTTGTTTAACGCTGCACTCAGCCATATTCAAGCTATTTGGCGGCGGTCTGTAAATAATCGAGTCTGTACCACACAATCCAGTGATTAACAGCATGAGCATCGATCTGCGCAAATGAGATACGATGACATGTATCAACCAAGTCAGCGAGCCGGAAGACCCGATACCGTCAGTCGCCTCTTTCAACAAGCATGGGTTGCTGAAGACCAATTCTTCATGGGTACATGTGAAGTGCACTTGGATATTTTATTATATTTTTGTTACGACAGAGAGGTAAAATTAATGCCTCTTTTGGAACAAAAAACCGATTCTAAGCCAGATCCGGGTGATTCAATGTCTTTGTATTGTAAAATCGTGGTATTGTGTCAATAGGTCATGACGATCTAATGATATCCCGGGGGACCTCTTTTCTTTCAACTGGAGAATTACAGGACTACAGAAAAGAAATTGTATGCGGTGCCATTTTGCTGAAGGGTGTACTCAGAAAAAACAATGCACCTAATAAACATCAAGTTTACCCATAATGATAAGCGTTACGGTTAATAATTTGCCGTGACAAAAGGTTAAAATGTCCCCTCTGAACCAGCAAAATAGAACACAGACAAGTCTAAAATATTCAATAATATATGGAACAAACAATGAGCAAGCTACAATGAATCACAATACAGATTTCTAGTACAATGCAATTGAGTCACAAATCTCAAATATTGGGTCACAAATATTAAATATTAACTCACCAGAGTCTTGACATTTACAGTGAGATCAGATAAACTGATTGAAGGTTGTTTACAGTGGCAGTAGTAGAGGAATAGGCAAGCACGGTCAGTCTTGAATGTTGAACAACTTGACGATGGCAGACAGATGTGTATAACTCCAGTCATGTGATAAGTCTGTGTGTCAACTCAAAAACCAGCCTTTATACAGATCTCACACAGTTCTAGAGCATTCTAGCAAAGCTAGGCTGCATCTTTATCCACTCAGAACGTTCACGAAAGCCATTGTAAACACAAGACATGAAGTCAAAACAAATACAAAAGATTGCCCCATGGGAGGCAACTCTGAAGCGCTATCAAAAAGGCGTGTCGCTACAAATACTACTGCCACAGAACATATATGATGCGAGATGCGAGCCAAACGGGATCGGGTAGTCAGGCTCGCTGACTTGGTTGACACAATCGGTTCCGAATTGCGCAAATCGATGCTCATGCTGTTGATCACTGGACTGTCTGGTCCAGACTCGATTATTTACAGACCGCCGCCATATAGCTGAAATATTGTTGAGTGCGGCGTAAAACTAAACTCACTCACTCACTGTTCAGGCCGATACTGGATCTGTTGAGTCATATAACACTATAACGTGGGCGTCAGCTCGACCTTGTGGACCTTCCTGAGGAACAAATGTTCTTGCAAGGAATACCTTGACATGTTGACTGGTGTTAAGACCTACGGGAATATGGTATTTCAGGAATTATGAGGATGGGACATCATAGCCATATAAAGCATCTCGAATGGGTCTTCTTCTGATTGTTTTTGTAGCTTAACATCCCACTCAGTATTTCTTCAGCTATCTGACGACGGTCTGTAAATAATCGGATAATCCAGTGATTAACATTATGACTTTTACCACCAAGTCAGCGAGCGGGGATTACTGAAGAACAATTACCGATCTCCACGGGTGAGAATTTTTATATGGTTTTAGCGATTTGAAGGAATTCTGCTGTCATTGAGACTTCAGAGATAAACAGGACATGAAAATCTCCCAGAAATTAGGTTGGTTTGTTGTTTAACGTCTCACTCAGCAATATTCCAGCTATTTTGCGGCGGTTTGTAAATAATCGAGTCTGGACCAGACAATCCCGTGATAACATCATATGCAACGATCTACACAAGTGGGATACGATAACATGTGTCAACCAAGTCAGCGAGTCTGACCACCCGATCAAGTTAGTCGCCTCTTACTACAAGAATTGGTTGCTGAAGACCAATTTTACCCGGATCTTTATAGAGTCTTCCCACACAAATTCCACTGTCAATTCGCTAAGCTAAGAAGCTATAATTTCGGTGGTTAAATTGAGATGCACCCCCTAAAGGA